CGTAAGGTTATAAAAGCATGGATGACAGTTTCCAAGTCACGCCTGGAAAGAAAAGGCTTGACCTTCAATAGACGTCTGAGGTGACAGAATAAGGATTTTACTACGCCATTTATGTGGCCATCAAAACTAAGTGCAGCCCAAGATTAGTAACCGAGCTCTTCGGGTGAGGAGCCAGAGCAGCAAAGTCAACATCTGGTGTACCAGATTGGGACTGAATAAAAGTCCCTATGTTTTACGTTCATTAAAATTAAAAAACTGCAGGGCCAGCCATGATTTAACTTTGCTAAGACAATCAAGCAGGAGTCCAATCGAGGCGCTATCACAGTGATTGAAAGGTAGGTAAAGCTGGCAATTGTCAGCATATAGATGAAATTAAATTTTGTGTTTTCAATTTCAATCGCTCCCAGTGGCAAGAGATACAATGAAAACAGTAGTGGCCCAAAAATAGATCCTTGCAGTACACCTCATGGCAGAGGGGCCACAGAGGATGAGGCCGAACCCAACGTTCCTGTCAGAGAGATATGGTTTTATCCATGAAACTGCCAAGCCAGAAATTCCTACACAATGCTGTAGTCGAGAGATCAGCAGGTCATGATCCGTTGTGTCAAATGCAGCAGTCAGATTCAACAAAACAACCAATACATTTTTACCACAGTCCGTCACTAACAAAATGTTATTCATAACCTTTATGAGAGGTGTCTCCATGCTGTGAAACGGCTTGGAGTCGGACTGAAGAGCTTCTGGAATTTGAAAATCACTTAGATGGTTCATCAGCTGAGTGTGAACAATCTTTTCCAGGATCTTATTCAGAAAAGGAAGCTTTGAGATGGGTCTGAAGTTTGTCGTAATTGAAATGTCTGAGCCCAGTTTCTCAAGTAAAGGATGGATAACTCCATGCTTAAACTCACTTGGTACTTGACGTGACAAGAGACTGGTATTAAGTTCGGCACAACAGCGTCGGCCAGGTGCAAGCCGTCTAACAGCAGGACGATTTTATTTTATTTTATTTAGAAAGAGGGGCAATACATATTAATGAACATTTTAACAAATGTAAATATGCCAGATTATAGCCTTGGGCTAATTTCCATCTGCAGACCCTCTGGCAGGTTGGTTTTAAAAGAGGAACAATGTCAAATATAATGGGCATATGGTCAGCGAATGTATGTGTGAATATGATGATGCCAAGTTCAACGTGTGACCACGTTCTTGAGTGGCACCCTTAACAGATTGAACAAAATGAAAAGGGTTCACAAAGTCCTTAGCCAGCGGCTTCCCTGGGCAACAGACGTGAATATTAAAATCACCGAGCTGCAGTGGTTTGTATCATATCTATCTAATAGACTCCAAATTGTTCATGGGGCGATTGTGGCTCAAGAGTTGGCAGTTCGTCTTGTAATCGGAAGGTTGCCAGTTCGAGCCTCGACTCCAACAGTCTCGGTCATTGTGTCCTTGGGCAAGACACTTCACCTACTGGTGATGGTCAGAGGGCCCGGTGATGCCTCTGTCAGTGTGCTCCAGGGTGGCTGT